AGCAGCATAGTATTCCATCGTGTAGATGTACCACAGTTTTCTAATCCATTCATCTACTGATGGGCACTTAGGCTGTTTCCAGATCTTAGCTATGGTGAATTGTGCTGCTATGAACATATGGGTGCATATATCCTTTCTGATTGGTGTTTTTGGTTTCTTGGGATATATTCCTAGAAGTGGGATCACAGGGTCAAATGGGAGTTCCATGTTTTGTTTTTTGAGGAAACTCCATACTGTCTTCCATAGTGGCTGCACCAGTCTGCATTCCCACCAGCAGTGCAGGAGAGTTCCTTTTTCTCCACATCCTTACCAGTACTTGTCGTTTGTTGATTTGTTGATGATAGCCATTCTGACAGGTGTGAGATGGTATCTCATTGTTGTTTTGATTTGCATCTCTCGGATGATTAGTGACTTTGACCATTTTTTTCATAAGTATATTGGCCATTTGTATGTCCTCCTTGGAGAAGTGTCTATTCAGGACTTTGTCCATTTTTAAATTAGATTGTTTTCCTGATGTGGAGTTGTGTGAATTCTTTGTATATTTTGGAGATTAACCCTTATCAGATGTATCATTGGTGAATATATTCTCCCATATTGGGTTCACTTTTCATTTTGTTGGTTTCTTTTGCTGTGCAGAAGCTTTTTAATTTGATGTAGTCCCATTTGATTCTTTTGTCTTGTGTTTCTCTTGCCCTAGGAGAGGTTTCGGTAAAAATCCTTCTAAGTGAGATGTCTAAGACTTTACTGCCTATTTTCTTCTATAATTTTTATGGTTTTGCAACTTGCATTTAAGTATTTTATTCATTTTGAGTTTATTCTTATGTAAAGTGTAAGCTGGTGGTCTAGTTTAATTTCTTTGCATGCACTGATAAGGGGAATCTTGATATCACCCCAGCAATAGACATCGCAGGAAAGGGGAATTGCAGGTCAACTCTTCTGAATGTTAGTGGCAAAACCTTATACCAATTTTTAGCCATCTAGACTCTGAGATTTTGGTGAGAAAGGAAACTGGTATTTCATGGAGGTATTTACATGGGTTGATGTGGACAGGGTCACTGGGTCTTTGGGGAGGAGTGAGAAGGGACAGTGCCATCAGGTGGGAGGGGATGAACATTTGGTGACAGAGGTTAGGAGGGTCTGATGATCCTCAGGGAGGGGTCTCCAGTCTGTGGGCCACATTTATGGGTCACATTCTTATGTAGTGGATATGGAGGAGTCCCTCTAAGGCAGTGGTTCTCAACCTTTCTAATGCCCCGACCCTTTAATACAGTTCCTCGTGTTGTGGTGACCCCCAATTTCATTGTTACAAATTGAACATAATTAAAGCATAGTGATTAATCAAAAAAACAATATGTAAATATATATGTGTTTTCCGATGGTCTTAGGTGACCCCTGTGAAAGGGTCATTCGACCCCCAAAGGGATCGCGACCCACAGATTGAGAACCGCTGCTCTAAGGGGACACAGGACTCCTGCCCCTGCAGGGTCTAGGGATGGATGAGGAGTTTGTAGAGACTGTATTTGGTGAAGGACTTGGGCAGAGAAGGTGCACTCTGAGAGCCAGTGCAGCCTCTGCTCTCAGCCAAGCTTTAGTCCAGGCTGCTCAGAGGGTTGTTCACATCAATAGTAAGTGAGATATGAGGGGCAAAGGCATAATTCATTAACCACTGAAGCACCAGCCCAAATGGCCACTTTCCTAGTTAATTCACATTGACTGCTCATCCAGGTTGGTCAGTTGAAGGGAAGCTAATTCTTGGCAGAGTCATCACGTGGTAGTTGGCTCAGAATGTTCTGAGTTCTGAGTCAGCTTGGGAGTCACGCAGACCACTGGTCACGAGTGATCAGCTGGTCATTGGGAAGGCTCAATGTTAGACAGCTGCCAATGTGAAGATACTGGGGGAGGATGGCCACAAGTGCGCACTTCCCCTGGTCCTTCAGAGAGGCTTTATTTGGGGAAAACAGCATCATATTTTGTGTTAGGAATTGAAACAAAGAGAAAAGGCCTTTCTCTGGGTCATGATTTTGTCCCTTTTCTTGGCTCAAGCGCCTCCTCCAGGGCATCAACCCTCCTGGGATGTCTGAATTTGAGAAATGGATCAATGGAAGTGCTTGGTTCAGGGGTCCAAGGTATGATCTAGAGGACTGGGGATTCAGTGATCTCTGTCCCTAGGGAACCAACTACATTCCTATTCCAGATCCAGTACTCATTAGTTACTCTAGGAAAGCTACTTAACTCTCCAAATTTCAGTGCCCTGAACTATAAAATATAGGTACAGCCTCTGCTCTGTCCACACCACAGGGCTGACATGAGCATGACAGGAGATAATCATGTATTATTTATGAATTATAAGAAGAGTAAACTCCTACCCTCCTCTACCCAAGTCTCCTTTCTGGAAGCAGCCACTACCAAATTTCTAGAGACACTTAATAGTTGATCACTCATAGAACACTTAATGAAAAACCAGTTATTTTTTAAGGCTTTACCTGTATTTAATGATTTTTGGCTTCCTACCATAATTCTAAGGAATAGGTTCCATTAAGTTTTCGAAGGACAGTGCAAAGAACTGAGGCACAGAGGGCTCATGTAATCTTCCCAGGTTCATGTGGGTTCGAGTAGGACCCATGCTCTCAGTCACTGTGCTCTGTTGATTTTCTGTACTGTCTCATTGAAATAAAGACATTTGTTCATGCAATCTGTATTTAGGTGTTTTAAGTGCACACTGAACTGCAAGATCTTAAAATCTTTGATCCAGGTGACTCTTATAGGCAGCTGGTGAAATGAGATCAAAAGTATGAACTGTGGCCCAGGAAGTGTGGCTCAGTGATTGAGCATTGACCTATGACCCAGGTGGTCACAGTTCAATTCCAGGTCAGGGCACATCCCCAGGTTGCAGGCTCCATCCCCAGTAGGGGACATGCAGGAGGCAGCCAATCAATTATTCTCTCTCATCACTGATGTGTCTATCTCACTCTCTTCCTTCCTTTCTTAAACCAATAAAAATATATATTTTTTAAAAAGTATGAACTGTGACCTGGCTGGTGTGGCTCAGCTATTGAGCATCGACTCAGGAACCAAGAGGTCGTTGGTTCCATTCCTGGTCAGGGCACATGCCCGGTTGTGGGCTCAATCCCCGGTAGGGGACATGCAGGAGGCAGCCGATCGATGATTCTCTCTCATCATTGATATTTCTATCTCTCTATCCCTCTCCCTTCCTCTCTCTCTAAAAAATCAATAAAAACATATTTAAAGAAAAAAAAGTATGAACTGTAAGTTATTACTAATGTCCTATGATCTTCTCTCAGCAAAATGTCAGTAGCTCTCTTTATTGTGAATGCATTTCCCAGAATCCTGCCTAATGGATACAAAGAGCAAACTGGTTCCTCATTTAAGAAGATTAGTAGCCAACCCCCAGAATCAGGTCAGAAGAATGGGCATCCTGCCACCCTTCAGGGTGCATCCTGCAAACAAATCACTTGAAGGTACTGCGGAAATTACTCAGTAAGTAGTCTCAAGAATAATGGTTAAAGTTCACTCAGTGCCCTATATATAAGAGAAAACAGTGTGTTAAGCCATGTGTGAAAGTTTTATGTCAATCAGTAGTACTACGACCATGTAAAGATGCATTTACAACTTAAGTTTGATTCACATTTAATAGTAAACAACATTTCAAGCTAATGTTTGGATATTAGCTGATTGCTCATTATTAGTGGAAATAGATCTTTCCTTTAAAGAATGTTTCCAGATTATTTTTAATTAATAGACCAGTGTTTAGAAGAGCTTTAGACTGACATAAAAATTGAGCAGGTAATAGAGAAAGTTTTCATCTGCCCTGTTGCCCTTCTCAGTTTCCCCTATTATCAACATCTTACATTAGTGTGGTACATTTGTTACTACTAGTGAACCAATATTGATCCATATTTAACATTAAAGGCCACTTTTTATGTTGTACATTTCCACAATTTTTGAAAAATATGTTGTCATATATCAACCAACCAGAAGAGTTTCACTGCCCTAAAACCTCCTGTTCTTTACCTATTAATCCCTCTTCCCTTTCCCTGAAACCCCTGACAATCACTGATATTTTTACTATCTACTTTTGCCTTTTCCAGAATGTTATATAGTTGGAATCATGGAATATGTGTAGCTTTTTCAGTCTGAGTTTTTTCAACAAGCAATATACATTAAAAGTGTTTCCATGTTTTCCTGTGGCTTTTTTTTAAAAATCATCAAATGGATATAGCAGTTTTTGGTCTGTTCACTTATTGAGGGACATTTTGGTTGCTCCCAGTTTTTGGCAATCATGGATAAAGCTTCCATAACATTTGTTTTGTGTTGGCATCAGCCTATAATAGTGATTCCTATCAATAGGAATGCCTAGGGGCATGCAGCTGGGCCCACACTACTTGACGTGAATCCCCACAGACATTTTCTTGACCAGAGTCAATGTTGTGACTGGCCCAGCCCAGGTTTAATTGCTCCCGGACATTGATAGACACTCCTCAGCAGACAGACAACATCCTCATCCCAGAGCAGCAAAAAGGCTCTAATTTCCAGTGAATGACCCCTGGGGATGTTAGGAACCAGGGTCACCTTCCAGGGTTTGAGGAGCCTTCTGGGTCCTGTACAGGGAGCCCTCCTCCAACTGTCTCAGAGCCTCCCCAGTGATCTCAGGACCCGTGTTGGTGTTGCAGGTTCTGCTTGACACCTATTAAGGCCATTATTGAAGGCCTCAGCCTAGGCCTCAGAGAGAATGGAGCTGGAAAAGTGAGGAAACATCAATCAAGACAAAGAAGAGAAGCCCTAGCCAGTTTGGCTCAGTGAACAGAGTGTTGGCCAGCAGACTGAAGGGTCCCGGTTTCGATTCCGGCCAAATGCATGAACCTCGGTTGCCCGTCCCTGGTCAGGGTGCGTGTGGGAGGCAACGAATCGATATGTCTTTCTCACATTGATGTTTCTCTGTCTCTCCCCATCCCTTCCACTCTCTCTGAAAATCAATGGGAAAATATCCTCAGGTAAGGATTAACAAAGCAAACAAAAAAACCAAAAGACACAGAAGAAGAGCCATGTGGCTGCTACTCTCCCAAGGCACCTCACTGAGGACAAGTGTCATCTTTTATTGTTATTTTATTTATAAATAGATTAAGTATATTTATTAGGGAAGGTCTTGATGGTAAAGAATATTTGTCTACATTTAGTTCCTTTTAATATATTTTTTATTCATATAAACTACATGTATAGAAAAGCACCTTCAACAAGGCTCTGTGAAGTCTAGCTCTGTCCTGGGATCACCCACATGGGTGTTTTCCTGCAGTGGGACACGCACCATTGCTCTTTTCCCTCCAGTTGTCAAGAAATTCCCTTTGAGGTGGTTCAAGAGAAGGAGCAGAGGAAACAATGTGTGTGGGGAGGAGAAATCAAAGAGAATATGCGAACTTAGAGTGCTGGAGATGAAAAGGGTAAGGCAAGTAAGTGTGCATGTTCTCCACTGCTTCCTCACTTATTTATTTATCTCTCTCTCCTCTCTCCTTCCTTCCTTCATTCCCTCCCCTCCTCCTCTTCTTCCTTCTTTTCTGGCATTTTAGTGAAAGCAACCAAACTGAGGAGAGCTCAGGTATAGCCATTGTTACATGTGACCATGCAAGGAAGACAAAGGGATGGTAAAAATCAGTTCAGGGAAGTGAAGAATGTCCTGAGCACATCTTCCCTGGAGATGATACTCAGGCCGTAGAAACTGCTAAGGTTGTTGCCAGGCCCTCACTGGCTCTTCATTTGGAGGAGGGGTTGTAGGTTCTGGTAAGGCCACCATGTGTGCATAACTTCAGGGTGTGTAATTCACATTGTATTCTGTGTCACACCAGCACGGCCATGGGTGAACCTGAGGGGGGGCAGTGAAGGATTAGAAAAGACAGACATGGTGAACCTGAGGGGGGGCGGTGAAGGATTAGAAAAGAGACATGAGAATTAAACTGGGGTTAGGTGGGATGCTGCCCTCTGATTAGAGAGACAGTGCCACAGCTGCAAGCTGAGTCTTTATTTTATAGCCAGATTCCACGAAGCAAAGTAAGGGCGTGGTCAATATGTTTACAATGTTCTCGTGGGTTTCGAATCTACTCAATTACATGCACCTGATCAAGCTTTGTTTACTTGCTGCACCTCCCGCAGCCTACATCACTTAGCCACCTGGGAGCCGCTCTCCACAGTATTCTTTGTGAGGAGTTCTCCAGGATTTATTTAATGTCTCACCCTGCAGGACCCAGTGATGCACTATGGATCCTGTTAAGATCATCAGGGAGCATCCCCCAGTTGAAGGCTTAATGCTAGTCAGCGGTTCTCAACCTGTGGGTTGCGACCCCTTTGGCGGTCGAACGACCCTTTCACAGGGGTCGCCTAAGACCATCCTGCATATCAGATATTTACATGACGATTCATAACAGTAGCAACATTACAGTAATGAAGTAGCAACGGAAATAATTTTATGGTTGGGTCACAACATGAGGAACTGTATTTAAAGGGCCAGAAGGTTGAGAACCACTGTGCTAGATCCTTATCACTGGGTGTGATGAGATAGTGTCCAGTGGCCCTAACCTTCCCCACTTCAAGCCTCCTGGGAAAAGGGTGAGGAGGATAGAGGCACAGAGGCTCCATTTCTTTCAAGCAGGGCCGCTCACCTGCCCACCTCTGCATCCCTGTGGGTGCTCAGCAGCCCAGTGTCAAGGAAGGGACCCTGCAGGCTCCACACCCGCTGGGAGTTGCCCAATTCCTGGAGACCCTCCAGCCTCCTCAGAGCCCTGTGCAGGGCCTGGGTTAGCTCATGGCACCATTTCTCGGGCTGAAGTTCTGTAGGCGGTTCATGTAAAATTCCAACAAAACACAAAACCATCTAAGGAAACTCAGTGCAATGCTCTTTTGGGATATGGTGGGGAGGTGGAATTACAAACTGCTAATGCTTTTTTTCCAAATTTGTAAATAAATAAGACAAATGTAATTGTTGGTTTCATTACATTTTAAACTGCAGTGTCTTCTCTAACCATTTCTCACGGGAGTACATTAAGCCATAAAACTTATTTTTTTAAAAATATATTTTTATTGATTTTTTACAGAGAGGAAGGGAGAGAGATAGAGTCAGAAACATCGATGAGAGAGAAACATCGATCAGCTGCCTCCTGCACACCTCCCGCTGGGGATGTGCCCGCAACCAAGGTACATGCCCTTGACCGGAATCGAACCTGGGACCCCTTGGTCCGCAGGCCGACGCTCCATCCACTGAGCCAAACCAGTCTTGGCAAAACTTATTTTTTTTTACAGTTCCACAGCATAATGGTTTTTACATCGAAAGGCACGGGCTGGTCTCATGACTGGGTTGCCCACTTTTACTGTGCAGGTCCCATGACTGGGCCGTACTGAGTGTGAGCTGGAGGGACAGGGTCACCACTCCCACCTGTGTCCTCAGACCTCCTGCTCCTCACAGGTCCCAGTGGGGAGGGACTTGGCCTTTTCATTCTGGAGTCCTAGAGCTCTCCCTTTCCTTTGCATCAGTTTCACCGTCTGGCGACCAGTCACCTGAATGCCTCACCAAATGCCCAGGTGCAATGGGTCCTGTAGGACATGTACAGTCACTCTTAGTCACCAGACAACACCCTCAGCTTAGAGCAGCAAAAAGACTCACATTTCATGTGGACATGAACCCTGGGGATATCAGGGCCCATGGTCACTTCTAGAACCTGAGGGACCTTCCTGGCACCCACTCCAGGGAGCCCTCTTCCATCCGTCTTGTGCCTCCCCAGGGATTCCACACCTGCCTTTGCTGGTGGAGGTTCTTTTGACACCTGTGGAGGCTGTGACATGCAGATGTCAGCCTGCACCTCAGAGAGGGTGGAGCTTACACAATGTCAGAAAGTTTGAATGAGACACGAAGCCAAGAACCAAGAGCTGCCTCACTGCTCCTCTCTCAAGTCATGTAATTTGGTGCAAGTTATTTCATGTGAACATTGGATAGAATTAGACTTGGAGAGATGTTTCATATTTAATACTGGAAGCTTTTACATTAAAATTTATCCCCTAGCTTTATTTTTAAAACATGTTTACGTGAAATAAAACACAAATATAGAATGCACCCTTAACAAAGGTGGCCGTCGGTGAATTGTTACAGGCGCCACACTTTGTGTAGCAGCATTTTCACTGTCAAAGCCCACATGCTCTGCGAAGCTTCTCTGCTTCCTGCCCTGCCTCCACTTCCATAGCCAATCCCTAGGCCTTGTTGGGTTCTCCCAGCTTACTGGCTCAGTCCGCTCCCTGTCAAGGCTGCTGCCACACTAATATTGAGCTAATCTGGTCCAATCCTTGCTCTTTGAATATATGTGGAATAACTGATTTCATTCTTGTAACCTAAAAAGTTAGACATTATTCTTATCTCTGACAGGGTGTTGGAGACATTGTGCATGTTGAACTGGGTGATGGCAACAGATGTGTTTATATTTATAAGAAACCATAAAGCTTTACAATTAAGATTTGGGTACTTTACAATAAGTAAACATCAAATAAAAAACAAATACAAAAAAAATTTTTTCCCCACAAAGAAACCTTCAGACCCAGGTGGTTTCCTCTGATTTCTACCAAATAGTTCAGAAATAATGCCAGTCTCCTGCACGGTCTTC